TAATGCAAATAAAAAAGCTCTAATAGCCGGTGGACTGCGAGGAGTGATATGCTCAACTGTATGCATCTGGGAGTTGGACTTACATAAATAACTTCAAATGTAAATCCAATCCAAATGAAATTAAATTTTGAAATGATTTCTTGAGGTCTGTTGGGACTTGTTTGGGTTCACAAACCAACAATGAAGTCGGCAAAACGTCGATACACGTCTTTCAGTCCAAAACATTGAAGATAGGCCCAAAATGATCGGTAACGACCAAATTACAATTTTTATATTGTTATTTTAGTACGTTGAAACGTAAAAAGTAGACCTTTCTAATTTCGGAATTTCCCGTCGTTATGGAAACCGCCCTCAATTAAGTTGGATGATGATGATGAGGATCAGGATCATATATGGCGTTTAAGTCACACAATGGCCATATTTCATTATATTATGGGACAATCTTTATAACTCTTTAAACTCACGACGCACAAGAATGACACATATTCACGGAAAACAAAAAACAAACACTTTGAGCCCTGAAGATGATCTCAATAAAGATCGAAACCTGGCATGATAAGGAAAATGTTTTTCTAAAGCCTACGTCACACCAGAACGCAACTCACGGTCTCCATATAATAATCTTTATAACCATAAGTCATCTTCATTATTGAAATAAGAAATGATTTCCGGAGTTATGCCGGGAATGGTTTCGGTTCACAAACCAACACTGAAGACGTTGAAATGTCGATACACTTCAGCCGGAAACAGCGAGATTAGGCGGAACAGTATGATAAGAATCGACCAAATTACAAGTTATAAACTTGATTTTTTTTTAGCTAGCAGTATGAATATTCGAGAAATTTCAAAACAGAATTGACTTGAAGATAACCTTTCCAGAAATTTATTACTCAGCTGTATTTGTTGAACATTTAGTATTTTTGCCAACTTTCAAGTCAGTTTGTTGTTCTTGTTGCCTAATCCATGCATTCTCGTCGTGTTTGGTTCAGATGCGTTATAGTGGATTATCAATATCACTGAATGTCCGCATGTTTCCCTCGCGCTAGTCGTATTGTTTGAACACGTGAAAGCGAAACTTAAGTGATAGCCTAGACTTTCTTTCTGGCTTAATCTTCATTAATTTCAATTAAATATTATTAAAATTTAAGAACAAACTATCTTGCTGGGATTTTAGTATGATTGTATTTAGAAAAGGTTTATTTTTATGTAAATTAGGAATGATAGGGTGGACAGAAAAAAATATAGAGTGTTTAGTCGAATGGCATCGTACGTAGTTGCGGTTTGCGGGGACATAAACGTTGTAAACCTATTGAAAACAGTGATCCATCAACCGTGGACAGTTTCATGTCAAACAAGCCACAGGACTTACGTGTAGGACTGCCGGTGCACATCTGCCAAACTGAGAATAGAAAAAAGCCTCTGTTATAGCACGAAGCCGGTGCGTGTGTGTCGTATAGCTGTCACCGCTCTCTTGACAATTCCACCAACGGTTGACAGTCATGTACCCTGTGGGAAAAAATAACTGCTATCCAAACAAAAAATTGTCGAGGTGCAAGGGCTGGACAAAACGATTTAAATACAATATCGGATATAAGAATACTTCTAGAGACCGAGGACGAGACTTGTAAACGTCTAGAAATATAGAGCCAAGAATTTTAACGTTGACAAGCCGAAAGAAAAAAAACCCTCTTAGAAGGACATAATCGTAATTTAACGCGTTTTATGCTCCGCGCTAACAATAAAAGTTGACTCAAATTAGCTATCCGAACAACACAGCAAAAATCCCATGCTGCTGTTGATTTACAATTGTTCTTTTTAGGTTAACAAGCCTGAAATTTACACATGAAGACATTATGCACATTTGTACATGGGGAAATATTGGGTTGTCCGGAAAATAATGCAGGATTTTGGTATTAAACAAAAAAAAAGAAACTAGTTACTTTAAAGCAATGTTCTTTAATCAAAATAATTTCCCANAATGAGTAATCCTGTAAACGTAAACAGAATATTTTATATAGATTTTTTTTAATGAAAACTTAAAATCCTGCATTATTTTCCGGACAACCCGATAGATGACAATTCGCCAGGCGACTCAGGGCAATATTCAAGTTTAACGATTATAACCCAATAAACAAGAAAATGCGCATCGTAGTTAAACCTCGACACAAATAAAACGTACAGATGAAAAAAAATATTAAAACGAGATTATTCAAAGAACACATCAAGAAGTCAGAATTCAGATCGGTTTCTTCGAACAGTACTATGTCAACTTAGTCGTTTTAACGTCAAGCCTAAGCATTAAGCCGGCGCACGAGATCGCGAGACTTAATTAAATCATGCTCGGTTATTGATGTAGGATGTAGCTAAATAAACTCTAACATAGCATAACAAGAAATTTTCACCGATGTCGCGTTGAAAATATATAAGTTAAATTCAACCAAGCCTCATGTTTGTATGTACCATAAATTTCTCAATTGAACGATATACTAGAGTGTAAATTGTAATTCATTTTGACTTAATTTTAATTTCATGCATTTTTCAGTCAGTACTATACTCTACTTGTAAGTTTTTTTTTTTTTAAGGATCATAAAACAGTTATTGAATTAAGTAGTTTCAAGGGACGTTTTTCGAAACGACAAGCGCGTCGCTGGGTGATAAGACGGTTTAGGCGATAAACACTCCTTAGAACACCCGACAATTACGGCATAATAAAGGAAAACCCTGCACGGGGGGCGAACATTATCTCTATTTGAGAACAAACGGCGATAGCATGGTTTACTGACGGGCCCCTGCTATCCCGGCAGAAAGATCCAATTAGTCGGAGGCGATATCAAAATTTGCAAATGTAATTGGCCTTGTTTGGCCGGCGTCTGAATTTGATGATCTCATATACTTTCCGACGGGTTGACAGGCCTTTCGCTTTGTTCGTGATTGGGCGGAGTCTCTCGGCCGCAGCACCTCCGACGGGCAAAGTGAGATCCTGAGGATCAGTTTTAATCAATGTTAAAATATTGAACGGGGCTACTTACAATATTAAGGTTCAGATGTTTTTAATTTGATATAAATCGACTGAAAAATGATTGATTGCTCATTAAATACTTCTTCCTCTAGATAAACAATGAGTCCTGCTAATATTGCACCGTGTAGGGTTAATATTGCGCAATATTTTTAGTCTATGTCTAACGTTCGAATGACGAGGACTTGCGCGCATTTGTGAAAACATTGACGTTTAGTGACCATCAATATTATTGTATAAATTAGGATCAAAGTGTTTTCAATTTATTTTTTACATATTTTCCCTAAGTTCCTTACAAATTAATCAAGATTTCATACGCTTTTGTTCGTCTCGGTCTAAATTCGTTTACCCTGTCGGGAGAAGTAAGGCGACAAGAGTTTTATAAATAAATTTAAGATATTCGGCGTCGACTTGAAAGGCAAACAGGGTTCTCGAGTGTAAAGAAAACATTGGTAATAAATAGGTCCTACACTAAGTGGCGATAAACAAAAAGGCCTTGAGTGATAGGTGACAGATATTACACACAGGGTTTCTTTTCTGTTTTTACTAATAATAATTATTATATTGATTATTCGTCATATCAACAAATCGTTGGTCTAATTGTAAGCATTCAAATTTTCAAATGTTACCAAGTCAAGATTGAAAGGGAAAAACAACAGGAAATGTGTTTCTTGTGCCCTTCATCCCCTTTTTTGTAAGTTGTCTTTGGCAAAAGACCTATTTACTTGCTTCGAAACCTTCAAACTGATGCAGACAGCCAACTTTCTAGACCACTTGACTGCATCAACATTAGTTTAATATTCAGTCAAACTTTTGCAAGCCATGAGCAACATAAAAAAAGTCAAGAAGTATAGGCCACGTGTACATGTTTTTACCTTTCCTGTTAGTTTTGTTTGGCAAAAGACCATTTCTTTTCTTCATACCTATCATCAGCCTACTTTCTAGACTCCTTGAACAATTTACATTATATAACAAAATTAAAAAAACTGCTGAGGCGAGAACTATAAGTTAGCCATTTACTACGTCCAATCCAACTTATCAATGATCTATTTTATTCCAGACTACCTTCTTCAATCAATGTGCAGTAAATTAATCAATATTTTTCGTCAATGATTTTATCGTAACAATGTGAATTTTTGTTTAAGGCGGGCATTATACGGTCAAATATATTGCATAAATATAATTGCGCAATATTTTTGAAGGTTTAAGGTTAATATTGAAGTTTCCTTAATGATTGAACAAAAGTTTGAACGAATTTAATTTTTATTGCGCCATATTTTTTCATTGTACCGTATAGGGTTGATATTGCGCAATATTTTATGTCTACCTTTCGAAGGACGAGGACTTGCGCGTTTGTTTGTGAAAACATTGGCGTTTATGGACTATCAATATTATTGTATAAATTAGGATAAAAGTGTCATTAATTACTCTTGCCCAATAAAAAGTATTCATAAACTATGCGGTAAACCATGGGCTATACGAGTAAGAAAAATTTCATGTAATAAACTTGAAAAACCATGTTCTTTTTCCTAGGATAAAATGATCATTATTGGAAAATAGGGTTTGAATAAGAAAATCATGCTAAAATGCTTTTCTTTTTCTTTATTCATATATTTCCATTCATACATTCCCTTAAAAAAAAGCGTTTTGGAGAAAAGAAATTAATTTATAAATATCTCCGATACTATTGAGATTTTAAAAAAAAGTATAGAATACGTTTTCTTGCAAAGTAGCTGAATAATCGTCTCCTTGAGTTTCGCGCATAGTTTATGAAACACCCTGTATATTGTGCGCCCAGTTTTTAATGAAAAAGTTAATAATAGAAAATGTGGAAAATTAATGCTTAGAGCATGCGAAGATTTGCGATAGTGGAATGTGGAAGTACACCGAATATATAATAATAGGATATTAAGCAATTTGCTCTATTAAAGTGAGAAGGAAGTCATTATAATCTGCTTTAATCGATTATTTTTCTTTTTTACAGGAAAATCCGACCCTACGCCACACAGTTCTGCATTCAACATGGGCTACCTTGTGTCACCGTACCCTTACCACAACGGGACACCACCCTCGATACCTGTGTCTATGGTGAGTTACAGATTCATGATATTGAAATTAATTTAAATATATTCTCCCCCCATTATTGGAAGGGGATCCAACGGCGTTGGAAGTACAAATTATAGCAATTGACATTGTAAATTGGTCCCGATTTAAATGGGAGGGGTAAATTGGTTCTGAAACCAGGGCTGGATAAATTGGGTGCCACGGTGCGAACGTGAATGGGAGGCGGGGTCTCTCATACCTGACGGTGGTGTACCTCGGCATTGGTGTGTCCTCGTCTGTAAAATGGTATCAACACCTCATGAAAGTCTACTTACAAAGTCCCTAGTTTAAAATTAACAAAAAAAAATCCTTCGAACAAAAAGCGTTTGATTCAAGGTCCATTGGTTCTTCTGCAACAGTATAATTAAAAAAGTGACTGATTAAAATGACCCAAGTGATATTAAAAATTTTGACGACGAATGTACAACATAATTAAATTGGTTCATAAAAATATTATACCCATTGTAATGTTTCGTGCTTTAGTCAGTTTTGTTTCAGGGTTTGGTAATTTGTATAGTTTTATTCCGTCAAATTAACTATTTAGTTGTACATATTTTTTTATATTTTAGTTGTAATTGAAAAATTCTCAAATATGCAGGATACACTTTTGTATAAACTGGTTTAATTTAAAATAATTTTTTTTTAAATTTCAAACTAATCTTTTTTAATTTTCAAATCCTTTGTTACTTCAAATAAACCATTTTTACTTTGAAATCAGCTATTTTAATTTCAAATTTACCCTTTTGTAACTTCAAATTAACCCTTTATTTAAGCATTAAATAACTTAGGGGATAGAATGAAAAATAAGCAGGTAAAAGTAATCCTGTATATTTGAGAATTTTTCTTACCATGTGAAAATTAATTACATTAATCCTTATATGTTTATCGGTCATAATGGACATATTTTAATTATTTCAATTAATTATACTTTTATCGAAAATCTTGGCTGGGATGAAAAAGTTATAGTCACCAGCGGGATTAGAACCCACGACCCTCAGCTGGTGGAGGTTGTCCGTGTGAATCGATATCTCAAGGGTTAGAGCTCCGGCGTTTCAACTGAATATCGTGGGTTCGAATCCCGGTCGTGACACTACTTTTTCATATCAGCCAAGACTTTAGATAAAAGTATAATTAATTGAATTAATTACATTTAAAATTCAGAATTCCATAAAATTAAATATAAGTAAAACAAAATTATTTCTATTTTAATTTGGTTGAATTGATACGAACAAGGGTTAATTTAACGGGAAAAGCTATATTCGAAAGAAAGAAGGTTAGTAAATGGTCCCGAGTTCGATTCCTAGCTTTGTCTTGGGATTTTCTGACCTTCATTATTTTCTCATAAAAATTCCTTAGCTTAAGCATACCACACAAGGTCATTAAAAAAGTCAACCTATAAGCTTAACAAGTATTATGCTTGTGTTTAATTAGCTAAGTCGTTTCGTCTTCTGTACTTTATTATGGCTTTTTCTTTACGTGTTTTACAGAAAGTCCTTTCTTTCTATTTTCAACCTTCTTTTTTACCCAGTTTGCAAACAACTTTTCCTCGTCTGTCTAAGTTATGCACTTTATTAGTATACTTGAAGGTAATTTTAGTTTTTATAAGACCTTATTAGATACATAATTTCTGGAATACCTTCTCACAAATGAGAGAGTTGGGATGATAAACTCTCCAGGCATTATTCTTACATTAATGCATTTTCTGTTAGAAAGACTGCAGGCTTTTAAAATCCCATTTCCTCAACATCAATTAAAAGTTTCTGAAAAACAATATTATCGATTATTAAAAATATTGATAGTAAGAATTCATGTTTCGATTTGTTTTTCAACTGTATTAAAATCTAAGCAATGTCCATTGTACATTCTCGATAGCAGAACGGAAAGTATCTTATTATATGTAGAGATTAGTGACCGTTAATCGATAGTTATTCAGATATCGTGAGATGCGGTTGGGTGTGATGTAGGTTTCAGAAAAACATTTTCTTTATCGTGCCAACGTTTCGTCTCTTATCAAGATCATCTTCAGGGCTCAAATTGTTCGTCTTCTGTGTAATTGTGCCATCCTTGCATCTCACTGGCACTCTCAACACGACACGCAAGAATGGCACAATTACACAGAAGACAAACACTTTGAGCCCTGAAGATGATCTCAATAAAAGATCGAAACGTTGGCACGATAAAGAAAATGTTTTTCTGAAACCTACATCACAACAGACCGCACCTTACGATATCTGAATAACTATCTTATTATAGCTCATTAGTGCCATTGTTTAATGTTTCTGACAAATTTAAGCAGGTGGAATAAATTACTTAACAACTTGCACAGTCCCCTAGGTGTTTCGTCGAATTCCATGCCCTCGGTAGGAATCGATATAATCTGATCTTATTCGCAAAAAAATGTGTTAATGAGTTTACTTCCTGCTTGGAATTGGGTTATGGTGAGATATCAACAGAACCGCGATATTATTTGACAAATATTCAACAGTTTATTTCGTACTCGTATCGCAGTTGTACACGCACTGTTTAACGCTGATTAAAAACAAAAAAAATGTCCTCTGAGAATTTCAACAATCTTATTTTCTCTATTAATACTTTTTTTTCTGGGCCGACTATCATGTAGATATCTCGGATTTCAATGGTCAAAGATACAAGAAATGACAGGAACAGGGAGCATAGAGGATTCTTCAGATAGCTATTCAACAAGTAGCGTCACCCTAGCCCAATTCCGGTCTTTTGGAATTCAATTTATATTTATCGCAAACGTCTTTTTTTATTTGTCAACTGATATAATATGTGATTGTCTAGAATTTATTAAATACAAAAATACCGTCATATTGTATGAATCTACATATCCTGGCTAACTTTACATATGTATAACACTTTTGCATTTAAAAAATATTTTAAAAAATAGAACTCAAGGCAACCACACGACAGTTTGTGTTCATTAACAAAAGACTGGAAATCATTTTAGCAGTCATTATTACTTTCTCTATCCTTTACTTTTTTAAGGTGAGTTATATTCTAAGTCTACCTCTATGAAAAAATATAAATATAGGTAGACGAAAGCTTAATTTCAGATCGTTTTTCTTTTGTTTTGCACACTTTTCATTCTTTTTTTAACTTGTACTTATAATAATATATATTTTATGTACTAAACTAGTTTTTCGCTACAATCATAGATACAATTGATTGTATTTTGGTACTTTAGTATTGATGAATCGTCAATCTGTAGAATATTTCTAAATTTGCTGTTCTTGATTCAATATTTTACTGATTTGGAATTAATCGTTAATATTTGCCTGTACATGATTTAAGAATCCAATGATCCATTCTTCTGACCCTTTTGTAGTGGTTTCATATTTTGGCATATTTGAAGAATCTCTCACTCCTATTATTTGGCGTATTTATATTTGGCTAACCTTGTGTATTGCTCATAAAAGAAATAAATTTTTAAATATAAAAATTTTTGGTCTGGGTGGCTAAAGGGCCTTTTGCACTTTGTGGATCATATAAGGATTTTTTATCTTGTTCATGTTAGCATGTTTTAATAATATAATGATATCTCTCCATGGATCCATAAAATCAACATTTTTGGGCTGGGTGGCTAAAAGGGCCTTTTGCACTTCGTAGATCATATGGGGACTTCATATTGTTCATGTTAGCTTTTTTCCAAAAGTCTAATTATCTCTTCCCATGGTTCCATAAAATAATCATTTTTGGTCTGGGTGGCTAAAGGGCCTTTTGCATTTCGTGGATCAAATGAGGACTTTTCATATTGTTCATGTTAGCTTTTTTTTAAAATCTAATGATAACATTTTTGGTCTGGGTGGCTAAAGGACTATGAGGACTTTTTCTAAATCTAAGGATCTCGCCCCACGGATCCATATTTTTGCCGTATTTTATAATTTACCAGCCCTTGTGAGGTTAAATAGAAGTAGCAGTATGGTGCGTACATCAAGTAGAACCATCGTACAATCTTTCATGTTTATAGCATGCTTAAAAAATTAATGATCTCTGATCTTATACTCGAAGTGATCATTTAAGAATATTTATTATTTGGCACATAAATACACGCATAAAAAATAATATCCTGTTAGGTTTGTTGATGATAATATTTATTGCATGTTTAAGTTAATGTTCTCTAAAACACCTTATGGCTCACTTTCGCTCGTTTGTGTCCTTGCTCTCAGTTTCAAATGTACCTTTTTCGCTGTTTGTAGTACTACGCTTAAATTGTTGGATTTTTTTTAATGTTTCACTTTGATGAGTTTTGAGGCAGAAGCTAGTTGAGTTTTTCTATTTATGGTGTGGACAGGAAAGATAGTTCTTTAGGTAATTTTTAATTCGGCAGTTATTCCAACAAGGCATGTAAAACAATTTCCTCTGGACAAAATTGAAAAGACCCGAGACGGTCTCGACTTTAGAGAAAACCCATAACCACCTCCCTGCCAGACAGTCGGCACCTCGGACCAATTTCCAATTTGGCCGTCCCAAACGGAAATCGTAGGATGATCGCAATCCTAGGCGCCGTGCGGCCAGATTATCCCGTGGGAGCACTAGAGGTTATAAATAATTACTTGTATCGAGGCTGTAAATAATACGTTAGGCGTGAAAATGGTCGGAGGAGCCGACCAGGTAACAAACACTGATTCATTACTAGGCTAAGGAGTCTGTCAGGATGGGTTGGTGGCAACCACGCCGAGGAACCTTGCCCGTCGTGGCAACAACGCCCGCTCACTCCGAGCCCTCTACCTGCACGCGGACCAGGTATCCAAACATCCTTCAGGACGTTCAACCCATCTTCCTACATCCGACCCTTAACACTATTATTTGCATTTTTTAATACAATTTTGCCGGTAATTAGGTCAGCAATCGCTCGGTCGTCACTCTTGACCCGTCTTTTTCGCCTGGTAATTAGTTTATCCGCCTTCTAGCGCGCCCGCGTCTCTCTTTTACAAACAAGGTTCTTGTTATTGTTTGATTTATATTTATTACTTATGCGCTATAATTCGCTTCTATTTTCCATGTACAAATTGAAAAAAAAAAGCCCAAAATGATCTAGTCCATGAGTATCATTTCTTCTCAACTTCTCCCTTACTTATTAAGCCAAATTGGATCGAAATATATAGTTAATCTATTTGGCAAAGACAAATATTAATTGATGCTTTCGGGCTATTGATACTCATCCATATTTTTGCACTTGTGGATTTAAAAAAAAATTCTCTGCTTTGAAGGAAAATTAAGGCTAAATAAATCAATTGGGAGATATTAAGGTCTTAAGTGTGAATAAACCTTCAGTTTGGTCGTTTTCGTTCATTGTGGTCTGCAATGTATAAGTCATCACCGTTTCGTTATAAATTAACCAGACCCCTTGACCTTTCAGAACGAGTAAAATGGACTTAAGAAAAATTAGCTCTGGAACAGAAGATTGCGAATGAAGAAACGCGCCTTACAGGCCAAAACGGAAAAGGACAGACCAGAATGTTTATCGTACCTAAGACCTCAATCTACAATTATAAATGATCAATACTATCGATAAATCAAGGCATTTTATGATTTGGTTACTCGAAAACAACGTTTTTGCCCCATGGAACTGCAAAATACTTGCCATTTGGATATTCTGGTCTGTAATACGAACCCTGACGAGATAACCGGCAACGGTATCAAGTTTTGCTTTCGTTTGGCACATGGTTTGGCGTGACCCGGTCCGTTTTTGTTAAATTTTTTCTACAGGGGAAGTCATTGATATGCCGTCTGAACCGGGTGGACATTTAGATCCCTATGAATCCAGCTGAGATAACCGGCGTTCCTTTCAAACCGTTTCGCCATCGTTAAGTGTTTGAATTTGAAACGCCCACGTGAAACTAGACCTTTCACATCTTGTCACATAACTCTAAACTTGTCGATGCCTGACATTGACAAAAAAATCTAAAAAATGTCTATCGTCTAAAAGCTCGACTATGTTTTATATATGAAAAACATTGATAATAATAAAAAAGTAAATTTATAGATCTTTATCCATTTTTGTTTTATAAAATTAAATTTACAATAGAAAAATGGGCAATAGTCCGTCTCGAGAGATATCCTCTTGTGGTCATGGGGTGATAAACGTATTGTTTGATAGTTACTCATCTTCTTAGTCCGTCTATCCTCGCTGATTTTTGTTAATTCAGACGAGTTTCGACATTTCACCGTACGCCACTGAAGATGGCGAAATGCCGAACGCGTCTGAACCAGCGCCGAGGATAAGCAGAACAAGATGATCAAACAATAGTTGACTGCCAGGTTGGTGGTTTCATAAAATAATTCAATATATACCTATCGTAAATAAATAACAAGAAAATTATAGGTATTATACTGATACATATACAATTTATATACATACTTTATTTTTATTGTTAACTTAGACAAAATCGAGTAAGTTTTAACATACATAGTACATTGTTTCATCAAAACAAAAAAATCACTTTTTTTAATTTACCTCCCAATCCGCCAACAATAAATACAAAAGAAATAAATTGTACTAAAATATCGGATTATAATATTTCTCTACTAGTTAATTTATTTTATTTTGTAAAGGGCATCACAGCTTGCTCATTTCAGCCCCGAACGCATACGAAATATAACAATACACATCCAATGTGCATTTACGCAAATAAATACACTCACACCTATATACGTTGCATTCATTCTATTTGGTGAATGGAGTACTGAATATTCCTCCATAAGCTTGCATACTTTTATAAATAGCTCGAGGGGCGATGGGGATGCTATTCTACCATCAGCTCCTCCCCATTCACTCTAATAAATATACTCACTCATACAAAACATCTTGACGGATATATGCAATAAAAATTCTCAATTCCCCTAAAAAGCGGAACAGGGGGACCCTGAAATTCGCTACCGTGTCCGAGAACCATTCTTAAATCCGGAGGCATGCCTACACGCTCTCTGTATGGAGCCCAAGGCATGACACGTCCGTATTATGTAGGAGTCAGCAACCTTTCTCTGCATAAAGGTTACATTGATTTTATTACTATTGTTTGTATATATTTCAGATTAAAAACAAATATCTAGATTATTTAATATTTCTCGGGAGCATTTTTGGTTTGTTTGCATTAATTATCTTTAATCAAATAATCGAGTCAGACGTTTTGTTTCCTCTGTTCAGTTTCAATCCCGTCGAAGTGCAGGTCCTTAAAAAAACAATTGGGTTGTCCATTCAATTGGATTTTGTGCATGATAATAACGGGTTGTTCATCTCTGCATGCCCACCTGCCGTAATCAATTATTATTTTTTAAATAATTCCTCGCCCGCGTTTAATTGTCGGGGTGTAAGCCGGCGGGCTATGCGGTAATTGACGGTCATCGTTCACCGCGAACGGCCGTTGGCGTGACTCCGGTCCTTTTTCTGCCCGATTCGAGCTGGCGTGTGTATCCCGGTGTCTACGTGTGAGAAGATCTCGGATGGTGGTGGTGGTTTTTGCCGGTTTAGTTCTGGCCACTCTACCCAATCTTCACGCTCCTCCCATACGTCATTATCCCACTGACAAGGTACACTCTGCTCACAACAACAACCAACATTCCCAGCCCACAATGAATGGGGCTTCTACTAAGCCGGCTTTTACTTTCGATCTGTATTGTAATTTAATATTCATTAAAGCATTGTTATTATTCATATCTGATGACATGGTAACTTATTAAACTTTTTTTCGACTACTCCTATTACTTAGTTCTGACATTAAGACATTCCTCTTTAGCATTTTATCTGCTGATTTTCCGATTTTTCAATACCTTGTCTTTCTTAATTTGTCGTTCCTGCCAGGCATAAATTTTGTAGTTCCAAACTTCAGAAAAATTCACTAATCAAAACACTAATACACAGGCTTGACTTACCTTACTTGACCTAAATCGAACAATATATCAATATATTAAACTATCTTCCAATTAACACTTTTTTATTTATAATCTTCATTCACTAAATGTTTTAAAATTCCGTCACCAAGAAGTTATACTAGTATACTTACAAGCATTTTATTCGATTTTGTTTTGGTTCTTTTTTTGTTTTTTGTAGGTAGTTTAATTTTGCTTATTTCTAGGCCTTTTTAAATTAGTTTAAAGAAAGAAATTTTCAAATGTACGATTGTTTCAGCATTCTGGGCCATTTTCAAGTACCTCGTTTATTTTTGGAAAGCAATTTAATTTTACATTATAACATTTCTCAATTTTATACGTTATGTATTGTTATATTTATTTATTTTTTTTTTTTGGCAGATAAATTACATTGGTCAGTGTCACCCCTCTTCCTTAGCATTGCATTACTTTTCTTATCATTCTAAAAAAAATATTAATTAATTTCTTGTAATTTTCTCCAGCCTTGTTGTGATGTTTTCTGATATAACAGTAACCAACTCTTTCCCTTTTATTTATCCTTTTGCTAGCATCAATGTACCTCAGGGCCTCATCAATTGTGGATAAAATAACGAACACAAATACAGAAAAAGATAACTGGTTAGCAATCACACTTCACATGAGTACTCCATCTTCCTCGGGTTATTGAGGATATGCCCGCAGATTCACTCTAATTACGTTCACACTACCCCGAGTACTCGATATGCCTGGGGGTAATTGTGGGTAAGACAAAAAATAGCCCTTCAATTCGCGCTAATAAATTACATGCACACACCGGAAAATACTGCATATACCTCGGGTTAGTTGGTGATGAACCACTCCATTCGCGCTACTAAATTACAGCCAAGCTACTGCTCATTTTCTGACACATAGTACACGATAAGCTGGTTAGCATTCACACTACCCAAGAGTACTAGCTTCCTCGGAGTGATTGTGGTTAAGCTAAAAGAATAGCCCCTCAATTCACACTAATAAATTAGATGCACACGCCAGACTTCATTCACACCGGAAAATACTCGATATTCCTCGGGTTAGTTAGGGATGAGCCCTTCCATTCTCGCTAATAAATTACAGCCACGCTACGGTTCGTTATCTGACCTGATATTTCTGGGAGTAATCGAGGATAGGCCGCTCCATTCACACTAATAAATTACATTCACACATTAATTTTTGTAATTTTTTTTAACACCTTCAAAATAAGGCCTGAAAAGATATTTTCCCATTATTTTATTATTAATCAGTACTTGGTATTAAAAGTACGAATAGTCGGTCATCACTGTAAGGTGAAGGTCCCGGGTTCGAATGCAGGGCCGCTGGATTCGAACCCGACATACTTACAAATGTGCCTTTTTTGAAAAAAACCGGCACCCTGAGGGTTGATATGACCTCTGCTGTTGCGAACCCTCGTAAAAAAAAGTACGAATAACCAAAGGAAAATATTAATAATAAAATAATAACGAAAATGTATAAAGAAATGTAGACTGAGAATAATGCAAAATGAAAATATTATGTTCCTTATAACTTAACTGATTATCTGCGTATACGACAATTTTCGACTATTATTTTGTCACACGTCATGATCTCTGGAGAAAAAAATCACAAGTTACTAAATTCACTGGCATATATAAACATACATATATTGCACATATATTAGGCAGTATGGTATATAATATTACAAAAATAAAAAAACAGTATAGATTATTTCTTAGCGTTAAGATTAGGTGTTACCTACCTGTAACTGTGGTTTTTTCGATGTACATTTTATGATTTGCTCTTTTTTTGGTATCGGTGGTTTACATATGTGAAATGTTGCAAATGGTTTGTTCCTCCCCCACAGAATGTATGACCGTAAATGTATGACAAAGAGGGTTTTCGTTGTTCAGCCTTGCACACCATTCATCATGCCGCGTTAGAACGCCGTTGTTGCATGACTGAAAGCTCATTATTTATATCCCGTCGATTTTTATAGGACTTAACCAATAAACGTCGAAAAACGTTTAGAAACCTCGCCAAAGACGGTTGCCAACGATCCCCTTTGAAGTCGCTTTACTGGAAGACGTAAATAACCTCAAACGTCCAGATATTTGAAGGAACTCCGCGGAGAATTAGCTAAAGCCTCGTATTGTCATGTTCAACACGGGGTTCTGGAAAAAAAAAGGGAAAAGAAGAAAAATAGAAAAACGGTCTGAAAATACAATTTTTCATTTTTTATTTACCTTACAATTTCAAAGCATGGGTAACAATGGTCGAGCCTTATGTACGATTCATTAGAGACTTTTGTCCCTCGGTGATTAATTCTCACTGTTCTGTTTTAATTAGGGTCCGAACAGTAGCCAGTTGGCTTCAGCTTATCTCTGCTACAACTCCAGATTTCGGCTTGTTCCCATGTTCAGACGCAACGGCATTCCCGCATCTGATTATTCATTTATTCCCTTTTCGGTCTTTCTTTTTCCATCCCTGTTTCGTTTTTATTTCATCCATTTTTTTGTTTTTTTTACGGCCGTCCCGAAATTCCCCGCGGAGCGAAATTCTTCGTAAATCCTCGAATTTGCAAAAGAAACCTGAACACGATAAATAATCAGCTGGTTTCTTTTACTTATGTAATTTTCATTGCCATTCGATTACGCGAGCTGCTTTGTCTTCTTTTGCTAATTTACAAAATATAATAGGCCCAAATTATCTAAGAACGTTTCATCCTATCCATGCGATTTTGCGATTTTTAATCAATTAATTAATTTTTTAAAGGAACGCTTGTGATGCAGTAGTTATTTGTAAAAAAAAAGTTTTTTTTCGTCTTTATCAAAAATTAACAATCTATGGCCAATGATTCGTTGTTTATTGTTGAACAACTTAGGCGGTCCAAAATAATTAGTTAAGTAGCTATAAAGTCTACACATAGACTATACAGGGTGAATTGCTACTCGTGCTACAAACTTCTCCAGTAGATTCTTCACCCTAAAATGAACAAAAAAGTTCATATTGTCCATGGTCCGATTCTCAACCATTTCAGAGTAATTTCGCTTTTTATCGATTTTGAAAGATATCACGTCCTGGCGTCGGAAAATCGTGATATCTTTTAATCTAAACATTTCTCTGAAAATCTAATAGCACCGTTGAAATTCCCGTTAATTTTTCAATAAGAAGATGACGGTGGCAAAATGTTTGGGCTAATTTTTTGTGTTTTATTTCAGCCAGAACTACAAAAAGAGTGGAAAATTGTGTAAATCGGAAAGTGTATAAAGTAATCCAGAGTTTCTAATTTTAGTCTCAGAAGGCAGCAAATTTGAGGAAAACTACCTGATTTAATAACGCTTCCAACGCACTCGTCATTTTCTTATTTAGTGGTTGTGAGACCAAGATGTTGATGACAAAAAGAGAAAAAATGGTGGTTCAAGGATTGCTAATGTTTGAGAGTGACTTGCTACTCGTGCTACAAACTTCACCAGTAGATTCTTGACCCTAAAATGAACAAAAAAGTTCATATTGACCATGGTCCGATTCTCAACCATTTCAGAGTAATTTCGCTTTTTATCGATTTTGAAAGATATCACGTCCTGGCGTCGGAAAATCGTGATATCTTTTAATCTAAACATTTCTCTTAAAATCTATAAGCACCGTTGAAATCCCCGTTAATTTTTCAATAAGAAGATGAAGGTGGCAAAACGTTTGGGTCTTTCTTCCTTGACCTTCTAGCTGTTTGTAAACTTCTTAAGCATTACATACTAAATGGGCATTAAATTAAATTAAAAAATTTCAATGGAATTATGATTTTGATTCTCTCTAAAAATTAACGGGGATTTCAACGGTGCTTATAGATTTTAAGAGAAATGTTTAGATTAAAAGATATCACGATTTTCCGACGCCAGGACGTGATATCTTTCAAAATCGATAAAAAGCGAAATTACTCTGAAATGGTTGAGAATCGGACCATGGACAATATGAACTTTTTTGTTCATTTTAGGGTGAAGAATCTACTGGAGAAGTTTGTAGCACGAGTAGCAATTCACCCTGTATATTAAAAACTACAACTACAACTGGAATCCTCTGGAGGGTCTGTTTGAATTAAAACATTCAAGATGTAATGTTTATTGCCCGAAATGAAATTAAGTTGGTAGTTTTTAATATTTTAAATGTTGATCCGTTCTTACAGATAAGGAAGTGCAGAAGTCTCAGAATCTGTAGGCTGGGAGTCTGTCGCAAGCAGTCAAAGGACTTTCCTGTGAAAATCTAAACTTCCTACATATTCAAAAATATCTTTGATTATCATTTGTAAGGCTCGTGGACACACAATGGATTCATTCATTGAGTTATTAACTCATGATTATTTTTGAGCTTTTTGTATGATCGTACTGCGTAGAAATGGATAATTTAATTAATTGAAAATTCGAATGGTTTTTCAAATAATTTACGTTGTCTAAAGATTAAGAAAAGATATTATATTTGTAAATCTTATTGTAGGAAAGAGAAAATTAGATATATTAACGTGGATTTAAGACCAGAATAATTTTTAAATTAAATTTTTTTTATGAAAGGCTTAAAAGAGCCTATTTCATAATTCTATGCCGTTACACCCATTTTTAAATTGTTTTTATTCCCCATGGCTGTAAAAACATTTCCTCCTTATCACACATTTGAAGAGAGCAAACAGACGTTTTGCAATACACGGAAGGTGTTTATGTTTTCCACTTAGGATAAAGGTACCGCCTGTTTGTTTAATATAAAGTTTAAAAAAAGGCCAATTGTTGTTATCTCGGGTGGGATAAGGAGCGAGCTGAGTATTTGTGGTATATGGATAGGAGTGGTGAAACTCGGCCGGAGCTGGTGGGGACGACGGTGGTCCTGATGGCCTCGGCCGCCCGGCATTCCTCAGGAAGTCTCCAAATCCTGGCCTTCCGTCAGTCACCACACCCACCGCTACCGTCGACCAAAAGGGAGGAAAAGGCACGGGAAACGATTTGTCACTTTTCAAATAATATTCTTTTTCAACAAGCGCGTGGAGTGCACCATAAACCATATTTCGTAACTATTCAGAAATCGTGAGATGCAGTCTGGTGTAATGTAGGCTTCAGAAAAACATTTTCTTTATCGTGCCAACGTTTCGATCTTTATTGAGATCATCTTCAGGGCCTGGGATTTACAAACATTATTTACATTTAACAAACACATTTAGGATGTGGAAAAGTGAATTTATACAATGCAAAATAATTTTTTTTTTTTTTCAATCAAAGTATTTCTACTCACTCAGAGTGTTTGTCTTCTGTGTAATTGTGCCAGACCGCATCTCACGATTTCTGAATAATTATCGATTATCGGTCACTAATCACCACACATATTTCATAACTTCGAGGAAATTTTACTTTTAAAAAAATTAAGAGATACACCGTTTATACAATATTGTTTGTAGCATAATCCAATATTTTTTAGCCCTTTCAAATAGAGCTGTTTACAAGTTTGTCAACATGACACGATCCGGGGCAAAATGCCCAACTTGTCAAAGGGCAGCAAAACATGTTGCCACGACCTAAAAATGAACCATAATGAAAAACCGGATTGCTTCTGGGCTTGATGGATATCTCAAATTAATTTACACTCATGTTACAAACATTGCCTGTCGATTGTATATTCAAAATGGAACCAATAAACCATAACTAATTACGGTCCGAATCTAAGCATTTTCGGAATTATTCCACTATTTTTGATTTTTTAAGATATCACGACCTTGCTTCAAATAAATAATGATAACTCAAAAACTAAAACGTTTTGGATAAATCCGTTGATACCATTGAAAACTACGTTAAATTTCCAATAAGATGTGATCAATACTAAACTTGTAACGTCCGTGAAATAAGCGTTTTAGTAGCCAGAACTTAAAAAAATCTCAAATTTGAAAAACTTACTATCGTGATTCTAGAACTACTATTTCCAAACCTTGAGAGCAGCAAATTTCAGAAAATGTACTCCATTTAATATCCTTTTTAGTGGTCTAATTGCTTGCTTAATTACTTGAAGAAATTGATGAAGGAAAGGAAAAAACGTGGTTAACGGATTGGTGGAGTGGAAAAGCTTGACTTTTTGACATGAATTTATTAAACGTTTTTTAATATCCATCAATTTTTCATATTTGAAAAAAGTAATTAACAAAAGAAATTACACCACTAACAAGGATATTAAACGGAGTAGGTTTTCTGAAATTTGCTGGTCTCTAGGTTGGATATAGTAGTTCTAGAATCACCATAGTAAGTTTTTCAAATTTGAGAAAAAACAGGTTTTTTAGTAGCTTTTCTGAAATTTTCTGGCCTTTAGGTTTGGAAATAGTAGTTTAGAATCACCATAGTAAGTTTTTAAAATTTGAGAAAAAACATTTTTTTAGTAGGTTTTCTGAAATTTGCTGGCCTCTAGGTTTGGAAATAGTAGTTTAGAATCACCAAAGTAGTTTTTCAAGTTTGAAAAAAAAGTTATTTTTCGAAGTTCTGGCTACTAAAACGCTTATTTCACCAACGTTTACAAGTTTAGTATTGATCATATCTTATTAGAAAGTTTTGGAGGTATCATTTTTTATTTGAAACAAGGTCGTGAAATCTTAAAAAATCAGAAAAGGGGGGAATAACTCCGTAACTTGAAATTTGGATCATAGTATATTAGGACTTTTTGGATCCTGTGTTTTAATCATAGATTATTCCCATTTGTTTTTCTCCTTTTGCCGTTGAGTATTGACATCAAATGAAGAATTTGAATTAAGTCCGGTTAGATTTATTTGTCAAATTCCCACAGCTTCAAAATGATTGATTAGATTTTTTTTTTATCGTTGGTGAATACTTTTTCGATTGATTTCCCATGTCAGCTAAGCCTTATTTGAAGATGGAATTAACAATAATTTTTTTACTTATTAAATTCACTAATTTCGTGGTCCGCTTGACCAATTAATATATTACAGTTAATTAAGGTTTTTTCAGTTGAGATAAAAAAGTCAATGGCACGAGCGGGATTCAAAATGGCAAAAAGGAGGGAAAATTCAAAAAGGTGGGGTTGAGATGGGAAATTAGTGTCCGAGTGGATTGAGGTCACGATAGCTCAAGTGGTAGAGTAGCGGCGTATCTAGCCGAAGATCGTGGGTTCGAATCCCGCTCGTGCCATTGACTTTTTTATCTCAACTAAAAAAACCTTAATTAATTGTTTTTTACTTATTTTTTTTCTCTTCAAAACATCGGCACACCGGTTGAAATAGCCCTGGGTATTGTTGAAAAATCCCATTTGTAAGTCATAAACCATTAAAATTACTGTACTTTTTTTTATAATAAACAGTTTATATTGAATTTATAAACAGTTAATATTGAATTGAAATCAAAAGTTTTTAATAGTAAATAAAAATATTTCCTTGTGAACACACACGGAATAATGATGAGTTGGTGACAAGTGAACATAAAGAATTTCATTAAAATTCTACTGTCTCTTAGTGCTCAACCTAAATGAAAATAGCTCTTTTAAATTAAAATAGGCGATATAAGAAATTAACTTTTTTTAAATTTATGTTCTTTGAAAATATAATAGACGATTTTATCGTATATTCTGTTTTAATGGACCTACGTAAAACCAAGGAATTCACAATATTTTGTTAAATTTCATGTTTAAAAAGAGTAAAGTTTCATTTTGATTCGACTTACATCAAGAAAACTGGTCCGTATATTCTCGC